CTGACAAGTGGACTAAGCCATGTTGGTAGGTGTAGACTACCTGGTTGGGGACCGCGAGATGATAGCAACCGATGGTTAGAGACCTTGAATGACATGGCTCAAAATCGTTTGCAATGGCGCAGGTGCATCTAGTCTCTGTGTTCTCTCAAACTCTAATCTTCTGAATTCTTCATGTCCTTTACTTTCTTTCCAAATCTATTCCACTGGACTATACTCCTTAAATAACATCATCAAACCCAAATGTTCCCTGTCATTATTTATACTTTCACTACCTCTACCACTACGGGATTCGAATCGATAACTGAATCTTTGTGCTAATGTGGTATGGCAACTCGAACTGATGTACGTACGTACGAAGTTCCATGTTTTTACTGACTGACTGACTGCGGCCGAGGGTAGGAAGAGTCCGCACTAATTCAACGATCTGTGGCGCATATATATTTTGGTGCAGTTTTGATGTCAATAGTTAACTAAATGATAATCAGGTGCAATACTGAAGGCTAAATTATGTCTTCGTGCATAACACACCTTAGTTATCAACGAGGTACTTTTTTACGAATAGCTTTTACATGGCTAATTTAACAAATCACAGCCCGTTTTTTGTTAGTCCGATTTTAGGGAAGCTTTTTTCGAAAAGAATGTTCTTCAAAAGGAAAGAAATGATCAAGTTCTGGTCTTTCATACGATACTTCGGGTATGCAGACAAGTTTAAACTGATTATTAGTTTAAAAATATTGTACTAGTGTCTTAATGAAAGACATCGAGGTGGAACACTAACCTAACAATGGTTTGTTACTCGAATTAAAAAAAGACTGTATGAAGCTATATTTAGAACACTAAAAGATGATAGAGCTGGGATTGGTTAAAGACGTCTAGTACTTAACAAGAAATTTGTAGGATACGGTAAACGAACGGTATGTTAAACGCATCAAATTCCGATTTGGAAAAGCACTAAATTTCACAGTACATGGTTATTGGTTAGTATGAGAATGTTGCCATCGAAGGCAGTCTTAATTAACAGAGCTAAAGAAATACATTTATTATCAATGTGTTATCAACCGACAATATATATAACTGGTTAATATGATTGTGAACAGAATATGTTAATGCAGTATTCCTGAGAACGAGAAGATTCTGACAACTCTGAAACACCTTAAATATAACTTTAGTCTGTAAGCCTAAGGCATTGCAGTTGGTTCGAATTTTATTTTCACTGACAACGGGACGATTATCTTTAAAATAAATTATTGTACACACGTCCTAGTAATTTGATATAAATTGGCTGAGATTTGTGACAAATCTGAGAGTACATAAAAGAAGTATGGGGGCAGAAACAAAAAACCCACATCAGACCAGGTAGAACTCATTTTGAATATGCGCAAGTCGACTGCCGTTCGAATCCCAAGAGGATTTGAATGAGACAAATAGTAAGTCTTTATCATATGTTAATATGATCCTAAAATCCTCCCGACCTAAAACTTTATGATTAAAAATAAACGAAATTGGTCAGAGTGGATGAGTGCCTGTATTACGTTTCAATACTACTATTAAACAAGAAGCGGAACACTTTTTATGAAGTAGAAGACAGAACAACAAAAACATCCTTTCAGAAGACTCGGTGTGACATGCACTATGTTCCTGGCTAAAGACAGTTGGCATGAAGTATTTCAGTATCTTTCCTGCCTAACTAATCGGACTTTATTTATTCTCTAACCAAATTCAGCAAATCATCTCGGACAATATAAGCACTTCGCCGTCAGGGTTACACATCCACTGAACTCCGAAATCAGCCGAATCAAACCTTGTTGCCATCCTGCTCACTGAACGCGGTCTTATAAATACCTTAAGACTGATCATGGAACAAGTGGCTGCATATCCTATATTTCGTAGACAACCCGTAAAAACGACAACCGACTTACGGTTACAAATGCTTAAAAACTAAGACGAGCCTTGCCAAGAAAAGTTTATTTCAGTCATTCATTTCAAATAAAAAACCCAGAAAACAGCGAAAAGAGTCATCCATGAATACATTTTCGCTGACAACTATGTATTTATATGAGAATGAATCAGTGTTTAATCACTCATTCCCATGCTTCTAAAGGAAAAAATTCGTTCGCTAGTGAGTTCATTTATTCATACAGACCTAACTAATAGTGTCACATTTAAAGAATGATAAATAACGAATTGTAGAAAAATTACTAGTCTGTTTCCAGTTTCGATCGATCAATCCGTTTAACCGGATTATCACCGTTGTCTAACGTTTCCCTCAAGGAGGTTGGGTGACCGACATCGACCTGTAGTATATAACTGGATAGAAAGGACTGTAGCTAACTTTATTTTAGTGACCGAAGAGTCTTGCTCTTACTAATATCAATACGGCGTAAATTGTTTATTTATTTCAATGGAGAGCACTCGAATTAGCCGTTGGTCCCTGGATAGTGACAACGTGACGAATGGAGAGAAGCTCAAGTTACGATCTGATCGCAAGATAATGCATCCTTAAGACTGATTTCGTAAATATGTTTAGAATCCTGAACTTAATAAGATAGGATCAGAACTTTTCGTAATGACTTTTACAAGTTCATTATGTTCTGCTACGGTATTAAGTCTTCTGTGTGAATATTAAACAATCTAACGAAATAATACTCAACCCAATAAATCCGTGACTTCGATAGGACACAAATAAGAGCTCGTATCAGAAACTGTATTGTATAGTTGTAACAGATTTGAACATAACGACATGTTTAATTGTATGGCAGGTATATGAGTTACTCACCACATTATGTCGGCTTTCTTTGCTGTTTCATTAACAGATGTTGAATTATCTTCTGTGGCTATAGATTGGTTCAATCACGTTATCTTCTGTTTCTTTCTTTCCATCATCCTACACGTAACTATCTATATACTTCCTCCCCGCTGTAACAAACATCGCAACTCTAGATCGGATTTTAACCTATCAATGAGTGAATGCTTCATTCTACCATCGGGTGAAATCAAGGGGTAACTAAAGTGTTTTATATACAATAAATTCGTGAGTGTCAAGATAGCGCCGTGGTTCTGTCAGAAAGAGTCGATTTTGTTCATTTGTTGGGAACTGTCAGGTTTTCTCTGTAATCTGGGGATGTTACGTGTTGTCTACTACAATGTCTACTATATCACTGTTGACTCGTGTAATGTAAAGATCGTTGGATAAATAATTTCCTTCCAATTCTGGTGCTGGTAGTAATTTTATAGTCTATTTACTCCGACAGTATGGTGATCTAGAACTCTGCAAAGTCCTCTTTAAGAGATGTCGTATATGCGAAGTGACATATCAAGACGAAAAGTGTGTATGCTGTAGTGAAAAGTTGTTGCAAAATGGTATCAGTCAACTAAATACGGTATTTAACGCAGAAATATTAATTAAACATAGTTGTAGATCAAGTTCGGAATACCCGTTTTAACAGAATAATCAAGACTTAAGGCGGTCTGCACTACTTTCGGCAATAGTTAATGGGCAGCTGGAGTTTTATTCTGTCTTCTGTGGAAAACGCATTAAATAATTTAGGCTCCAATATTTGTAGTGAGCACTGCTTTTGACAATCTTGTAAAATGATCCACAGATGTTGATAGTAAAAAATATTTTATCGGAGGCTACAATAATACTCTTCAAGGTGTTCATCAAGTCACGAATGTGGGGTGGAGTGTATTGGTTTGGGGGGTATTATTTAACTTTAGTTGTCTTTAGCCTTCGGCAAAGTGCTAATCATTGATTTTATTTTGAGGGAGCTTATCCAATGGAAATGACTATGAAATACTTAAAGGATCAATTATCCCTAACACGGAATACTTATAAAATTTATTTATTGAGAGTTTTTGCTGTCCAGGAGCCAGTTCCCATTTTTATAATTACTGTTATTCACAAACGGCATTATGGTACATAAGAATTGTGAGAAAGACATTCCAGGTTTCTTCAGAAATGAAATCATACATAGTTTAATAACGTATGCATAATATTCACAAACAGAATATGACATTCTAGTTTAAGTAACTGCAGGGTTAGTGGTTTAATGAAAATAGAGAGTGTTGAAAGAAGACTTACTAAGGCTGTTTTGGGTTATCCCGAAAATGAGGATTACCACCAAAGGTGTAAACTACTCAAATTAGAACTTCTCTGAATCAAGTGCATCAAATCAAACCTAGTCTTCATCCACAGTCCTACAAATTGTATTTATTACGCATCGGAATCCCCCTTCTCTCATTCTATCATATCATCCAACAACTGGCGCGATAAGGAAAATATCCTAGCGATTACGAGAATTTACACTTACGTAAGCTAGAATTTTTTCGTTATTCGCTACTCAACCATGTGGAACGGACTGCCAACAAACCCCTGCCTCAGTGAAACTTCAGCTTGGTTCATAAGTATCGTTGATGATTTTTCTTCCGAACGTGGATTGTGTCACCAATTGAATATCAATATGCTTTGCAATGAATTTTACAAACAAGGTCCGACATCTATCTAACTAACTGTAAAGCTAGGTTTAGCCTTCGAAAGTTTTCCTGTTTATTTTTTTCTTTCTATCCACCTTAATATCTGAAATCTGCTTATGCTCATACTTATGATTTTTATTGTTATTATTGTCGTGATTTACTCTTCGACGCATAAGGTATACTTTTCGTCCCTCAGACGTGTTCTTCAGAAAAACTAGACGTCGCATTATTGATCATCAAGTAGGACGAGTCATTATAGACTATGATTTGACTTGTAGATCTTATAGATTAGGTAATCACATCATGACATCTACAATTTTGGGATTAGGTCTATTATTATGGTAGCAAAGAAGTGCACCAATACCGAACCAGACCATGCTTACACAAGTGTATGAACCGGATAGTCCCAGGTATTTTTAGTTAGCATTGTTACGTCCAAGTTTTTGTTCATTCCCGTTATTGAAGTACGGTATGTTGATCTATTTGCAATTTACGAACCCAAAATTAACAATAGAACCAAACTCCAATTTAGGTACCAAATTTTATTCGCAATTTACAAATAGTCGACACAAATGTCGTTCTAACAACAATAATTATAACAATTACAAAACAAACATTCAATTTTGTAGGTTCTCAGAGCAAAACCTCCCAAATACCAAACCAAAGACAAAGAGAAACCAAAATGTCCAAAAATAATGATATAAACATACAAGTTCGGAAGTTAGGTGAGACAAATACATCCAAAAACATAGTGAAATTAATAGTAATAATACAAAGGTTTTAATCAGCCAAATGTCTTCAGCTCCCCTGTAACAAGCATATCGTATTCAACCACTTCTAATTATCATACTAAATTCTTCGGCACGTGTGATAGGTGCTTATAGAGATTTTGCGAAAATTCGGTTCTGATCAGAAGAAAACTATGTGTCTGATATTTATTTTATATAAATACATAGGCTCATAGTATTATTCAAATGATATTTAAGAACTAGAATAATATCTGTTTTTAGCAGGAGTGTTTTGTTTAATCAATTTACTAATACTTATTTCCGTATATTTAACTGTTTCTGTTATATTTGCGGTATGAACAGAAGGTGACAGATACTTTATTTATTTAAATGAGTAAAGAAATATATGTATTCAAAGTCTATACTCGTTATTTGACTTATTTAATTTTGTTATTGACTAACGTGATTTAAGTCGATGATAATATACGAGGATAGGCGACATATATATTTCGACAACGATCATCCATGCGATCTACTTGGAGTCAGAACTTAGGCCACTAAAGTGGAGACCCCTTCGACAACATCGTCCGATCTAAATGTAGAAAAAATAAACGGCCTCACAAAACTCTGAAATTTTAACCATTTTGAATGAATCAGTGGGCTTACCACCAGACGATTAGTTAAGCATAAGTACAGTGAAATTAACGGTATAGTCCTAACTTTTGACACTGATAATGATTGTTATGTACACATTATGAAAAATATATTTACTGAATTCTGTTAATATTATTATAAACCAAAAGGTATTTAAGCTTTGGTAAAAGCTATGCATTTTGTCATGCAGTAACATTTGAAGTGTAATGTTTCTTATTTTAGAGAGAAAGAAGAAATCAACTTGTGTATGTTTACAATTTTACCATCAGGTCAAACATATTATCCCAGAATTCTTTTGCAAACTTCACTTAATTTATAGTTCACTTCAGATTCTCACTTCATTACAGGTCAAAGCTCAAATTACTTACTTAAAAGTGAATTAAAAACAAATTTTATAACATAATTTATTAAAATTCATTCATATTATACTTTCTTATGAAGCCAATCACAATCATGTTTGTTTATTTCTAATTATATTTCACAAATCGTTTTTTGAAATAAAGGTTATAAATTAAAACAGAAAAAAAGTAGATAAATCCCCCGTCCCCACCCCACTAAAAATGAACTTGACTGATAAATTACAACGTACTTATTATCAATCAGTTCTAAATGGTTATTATTTCAAAAACCTAAACGTAAGATTACATATATGCATAGAAATCTAAAGAAAAATCAAACCACTTATATTCAGGAAGTAGAAAAAAAATTTTCTGTTAGATTGCATGAAATATTCTGGCATTTTCTAATGGATAGATATACAATGGAAATTTTTCTGAAATATAATAATATCCACAAATATCTTAAGGAAAACATTAGCTACTTATAAAGAATTAAGTAGCTTAAAATAATTAGTAAAATAATTACAATTCTCAAGGTATATATTTATCTTAAAATGCTTCTGAAAATATGTACTTATGTACTTTACTTTTTGTTATTATTTATAGCTTGTGTAATCCTGTTATTTATTTATGATCTTCAATACTATCATAGAATGATTAATTGTAAATGATAACTCATGTATTTTTATTAATCTGTGAAGTTCCCTTATATAATTAAAAGAATTTCTCTATTATTATCATTTTCTACTTAATGTTGAGCCAATTGAAGTTGAAAGAAATAATATTTTAGAATATTCAATACATATGAATAATAAGTATACAAGAAAGACACAAAACAATATAAGTTCTCTAAATTATATATATCAATAATAATTTCTTTTTAACTGAATTTATTTTCTAAAATATTCTTTTCATATTCAATTCATTGCTTCTTTTAAAAAAAAGGTGTTTATTTATCATTGCAAAATTTTATATTATAATGAGTAAATAATTGACGTTTTTTCTGAACAGTCCTACTGTATGTATGTATAATACATTTTAAACAAGTACGTACACAATGTACTCGACGAGCTAAATTCACTAATTCATTAATAATTTCATCTAAAAGCAATAGAATTGCTGCCAATATATGAAGAAAACATGCAAACCATGAAATACCATATGCTTCGCCAAAATATACAGGACCTTCTGTTCGTAAATGTAATTTTATAGTGATGTGATAAATAAGCACTGATAAGGCAGTAACAAATGCTAAGAGAAAATAGAAAAATAGAAAATAGACAGTAATAATAAATATGAAGCAAGAAAGAAAAGGAAAAAACAACAACACTAACACACACACACACACACGGATTAACGACAATGTAAATATAACAACAATAAAAAAAGAAAGATCATGATAAATAACAAAACAAATATTTGATTTGTAATTTTTTTTCCCAATAATTTATTAACAAATAAATATGTTTGTTCATTTGAAAAAAAATTCTTGTTTTTTTTCTCTTTTTATGATTTGGAACCGTAATGGTATGTGTTTGTTTAGTGAGTTTGTTTGTTTTCTAGGATCTATGTCGATGGAACTAATAAAGTTAATGAATATTATTTGATGATCATAATTTGTCATAATGTTTATTAGACTAAGTTCATAATATAGATCAGTGATTATGATATTTATATGAGGTAACATTTTATAATGTAAATACTATTAGGGTTTATACAAAAGTAATGATCAGTGGTTGAAGATTTTAGATGAAATGATTTGATGATTCAACAATTCAGTAGTAATGACATCAATTCATTCTTTCTTCATTTGTTCTTAGATTCTGACTATTACTGTTATAGCCTATATGTGGTTCATTCCTTTGTGAAAAGTTTGTTTTCTCTGTGCTTAGTTGTTGTTTACTGTCATTGATGTTACTTTAAACTTTATCTTATTGTATTGACAGTAATTGATATTTTTTGATTGGGATAATGAACCGATTAATGTTAGACCACCATTGAAAACCTGGAAGCACTGGACGGCTGTTTCATTCTATTGTGGAACTCCTCAGCAGTGCACATTCACGATTCCATTCGCGGGATTCAAACCTAGGGACTTCAATCTTGAGCGCGAACGCTTAACCTATTGGACCACTGAGCCGGCATCCAACGGTGTTAACGTCTAACCTCAATCAATTCACGAAGTTGCGCAACCATCTTTTATTGTACTGAGGTAGACACCTGTTTCTACCCGACACGGATGAGCTCTACTGGTCACAGTTTTTCGCTAGAACTCCGAGAATTCCCTCACGAAGCTAGTCACTAGTGAGCGCATTGTAATTATCAGTTTAGGGGTTGTGGAGATTGTTAAGTTTTTGATTGAGATCATCAACGGATTGATGTTAGACCACCATTGAAAACAGCCATCCAGTGCTTACAGGTTTTCAATGGTGGTCTAACATCAATCGGTTCATGATCTCAAACAAAAACTTAACAATCTCCACAACCCCTAAACTAGTAATTGATATCTTGGTTTATTAAGTATTTGTGCTGCATTCTACATTTATTTATGACTATCTTTAAACATTCAGTATTAACTATTAAGATATTCATAAGGTATTAAAATAATGACTTGAATTTTGTTGTTTAATAAGAAGATTATAGTTGTTAATTAACTTTTATACCCAGAAACTTAACATCTGATTTCTCGTTAAACTTGAGTGAATGGACTTATTACGTGACTATACAAAATAATGAGGAGATAAAATGAATTTTTGAGTTATTTAAGGGATAGTTTAAGAATAGATAAACTATGAAAATTATGGTGAGTTTACTATTCAGTTTCATTGAATTAGTTTTATTAATGTCTGTAAGTAAACTAATAATTAAATAGTATGTAATGCATCTTTTCTTTAATTCATCCTGTAAAATATAAACCAAATGCATACAACAGTATGATAGGATTACTTGTCAGTTCATCTGTTGACATTTATCCTTTACTTTTATCTGTCAGTAAACAATAAATTATAGACTTAAACATCACTTTACCAAGTCGAGTTTTACTAACTGGGTAAAATTATACACTGTTACACAAAAGTTGTAGTTTAAGGACATTAACATTACACATTGTTTGTAAGTTGTATTCCGTACATATTATATACATCCAAGCATTTTGAGTATAGATAAATAGTAGCTAGAAGTGGAATCGAGGACGTGCGTTTCGTCCTATTTGGGACTCATCGGCTGGATGTATCTGCATTCGAGTGTTGATGTTCACTCCAGAACTCAGATACAGTACCGTTTACTTCAAACTTCGTCGTGCCGTCCACCTAGCTACTGAGTCCAGATAGCCACTAGCTTGTGGCATAAGGATAAGTTTAATTGATTTTTGTTTTGATTGTATTGTTTGAAAGTTTTTAAAAAAACACCCAAATACACATACCATTCCTTTATTTCTAAAATTTAACTTACCTGCAACGACATGTGCCTCACCTCCTGAATGAAAATAATATAATCTTTTCGGAAGAGCATAAACTAAGTGGCCAGCCACTGAAAGACTCAATCCTAAAAATCCTAATAATATAGCCAATACAAGTATAAAGAATGCACCGTCTTGCCATCCTAAAATAATTTTCAAGTGAGAAAAAATGTAAGCATTTTTCAATGTTCAGTGAAATTTACAAGAATTAAGTGAATAAAATACTTTTTTCATACATAAACAACGTGAATGTAGGCTCAGTAGTTTACAAGAACCTATTCGAGAATCTCCGATGATCAGAACAAACAAGCAACAAATCTAAACTGACAAAGCAGAAGTTCAATATATAAGGTTTAATATACTAAGAAATAATAATTATGTAGTCAAATTATAATTAGGTTTCATACTGATTGACACTGATCAATATGATGTATAAGGAGTTTTAGTGAGACTTCCTACTAGTTATAAAAATAGAACCAGTCTGATTAAACATCACATTCAGTAATATTACAATTAAATTATTTGAGTCAATACCAAACTTTTTTAGGACTGAGACATTTGTAATAACTAATTATTTGACAGTATCACACAAATCTTATCCTTCAGTATGAATGTTTCTGCCACATTCAAGTGTATGTTACAAAAACGTCTTTTTCAGAGAGGATAATTCACTTAATTAATTATCTTCATTCCAGTCAGACTTCAATATACTGTATATCTGATAATAATAATGTTAAGTATTAGATTCAGTTAGTATTTTATGATTTTTATTACAAGCAGATAGGCTATTCAGTATTTGTTATACTATCCAATTTAAGACTTTATTCATGTTATTTAGGTACAGTAAAGATGCTCCAGATAAAACTCCTACCCTGGTTAAATTTATTTGATCCAAAGAATCTTTTGAGTATTTATCATGTGTGCTAACAAACCAACGTGAGTTATCCTGAGGTTAAATGTAAGGTATTAGATAAAAACACCGATTGGTTTATGAGACTGTAAGCCTGAAATAAATGAGTTGGTTGGGACATGAATTACGAATAACTATCGACAGTCTTTACAGCCATGTAGTGTGGATTAGCATATGAAGAGTTTGGATAATAACCAGATACGAGAAGATCAAGACAGGAAGTCAGTCCATAAGATTTTTACTAATTGCAGATAGGTTCAAACTTCCTCGTTGAGGCTGCCTTAATAGTCGCCATTAATGGTTGAAGTCGTCTTCTATAGAACTAATTACTGCTTTAATAGTTTTCAAATTAATATCCACAAATCTTTGTCTGGACAATGAAGATTTTAGTGGAAGATAGAATCGAGTTTTTTGAAGTGTCTTAGAGATCCTGCTGACATACATCGCTAAATAACATATTTCATCTAGCAGCCTTGTCTAGTCGTTAACCTAACTTAGTTGTTAAAAGTATGTTTACAGTATTCAATTCTTTAATCCCTGATAGTATGAAACAACATTTGGTCAAATATGCTCAGTAACAGCATGTTTGAATGTATCTTCATTGATTCCGGGTTTGGATCTTCAAAGAGGTTATTTTCTCATCAGTTTTACGAATAAACCTTGTTAGAAAATGATGAAAACAATAAACGAAGGTTAAACGTTTACAATTGATTGATCACTGGGTGGTGATCAATGTCATGTGTGTCAGGTCTTTCTCAGTGCAGATTGAATCCCATCGACCATGTTGCAATGTGGCCACTGGTTTAGGTGACTCAACATTGCGTGCAATATGTTGAGATATAATGGTGGTTTGAGGCAATCAACAAGAAACGTGTCAAAGCATCTAAACTTAAATATAGTCATAATGAAAAAGATTTGGATTTGAATCAGATTTTCCGCTACAGGTCTTTTTTTCTTTTAAATAACAAAAACTCCATTAACTACTCATCGTTACACTCAATGAAATCAAGTGAGTTTATTTCACTGGTCATCGAAAAAATTCATCCAGTTTTCTTAGCTCCCATTAAGATTGCTAACGAATACTTTGACGTTCAACAATCAAGTCATTGATCAGTATAATAATTGTTAAGTGTAGTTCAAGTATATTAAATGTAATAATATATACATATCACTAATGTCATTAAATAATCAATACAAATAGATTAAATCTGGAGATGCAAGTGCCTTGATACTAACACAGTAAATTAATAGCATTACTTTTTTTATTGTGTAACAACTCTAGAAGAGATTCCATTAGTAGGTATGCAATAAAGTGAAGTTCACAATTATAATACAATAGTTTATAGTTTATTCGTATCGTGTCGTGTAGAGATAGGTATCTAACTCAGTAAAATGGAAGGTGGTCGCGCAATTTAGTGGATTGATTGAAGTTAGACATTAACACCGTTGGATTCCGGCTCAGTGGTCTAGTAGATTGAGTGTTCGCGCGCGAGACTGAAGGCCCTAGGTTCAAATCTCGTGAGCGGGATCATGAATTCGCACTGGTAAGGAGTCCAACAATAGAACGAAATGACCATCCAGTGATTCCAGGTTTTGAATGGTAATCTAACACCAATCGATTCAAGATCTCAATCAATAATTTAATAATCTTCACAACCTTATACTTATAGTTTATTGTTTACCACTTTTCAGGTATTCTAAATCAGTAGTCAAAATGAACTATTTTCTATGCCATATCATTATTACCATACATATATTTATAATATTTGATTAATACATGTGTAATTATAGAAATAATAATGACCGGAACTACATTCTATTAAAAACAAACTATTCCCAAGTAATTTAATTACAAAATTATATAATAAGAATCTAGTTTCATTGTATTAACTTTATAGTTCATTGTATAAATCACTTAACCAATTAAAATGAATTATTCAATTCAGTAAATTAATTATATCTTTATTGATTGTAGCATTATAAAATATCGTATTCCTGTTATGTTATTTATTTTTAATGAATATCATATGCTACTTAATTAATTTTACATAAAGTTTGATAATAAATCAATGAAAGTAAGGTATGTAAATATCAGTACATTTGAAAGATGGTGATTGATCAGTTCCCGATGTCAATTCGATCCTTATCTATTGTGTATGTCTTCTTCTTTCAGTCAGGTATTTTCAAGTTATAATATAGATATAGTAGAGAAGATTTGTAACTTAGATGGATGTTTTTGGTATAGGTTTGTTCATTGAGTTGAATGGTTTAATCCTGAAGCTTTCATTGTTCTACAGAGAAAAGGTCATGTTGATGATGTTGTACAGAAGAACAATGGAAATTCCATGATGAAATAATCCAACTCAACGAACGAAATTCTATCAGAATAATATGGATATTTATAAGCAACACTTCTAAATGCATACGTTAAATGCTGAAGCACTAGTTTTCTCCGAGGAAGCAATAATTATAAATTATATGATATTGAACCTTTTATTTTCTACTGAACACTTCATGCTGGCAAAAAACATTTCATAGTTTGAGTAGTGGTTAGCAGTAAAATCCACGACAGTCTTTTTTATTTTTGTATGATTCGTCAGTTGAATTTATATACAACCTAATGTTAGTGTTCACAGTAACATCCTGGATTTCATAGATGGAAATTTTCTTGAGACATATTCAACTTTCAGTCATGGACATTATGCAATAACACAGAGATTGACCAATATCAGTTGTGAATATTAACAACAAGGAAGTATAAACCTACACAAATAACTAATACGAATTATAACAATTATCAGGTTAACTTCGACATGATATCATTGCAACTGATGAAGTGATTTAACTTAGATTCTGTCAGCAGTTTTGTTATTTAATATTGAAAGAGAAGTTGCTCGGTCGTATTCTGAAGGGATCAGATCCGTCATTTGAAAAATCTTGTTAATCTATTAAGCATGGTTTTATGTTTCATTCGTGCTCCAACTACGTCTTTTAGTGTCTGATAAAAACTATAGCTTCCAATTATTCTATGAAGTTAAGCAATTCCTTTAAAACAAATTATTTTCAAGATTTTATGCCTACTGGAATGTTTATTATAATTTTTATCACTAAGAATTACTTCAAAATTGTATTATTTAAAAGGTTTTCTAGAACTTCTGACCATTGAGTAGTATAGTGTTTTTTGTACATATTTATCAAACATTAAAAATTTTTATCACTGAGAGGTGAGACTATAATTTATGGACGACTTTTGAGCGAAGCTAGACTGACCTTGAGAGTGTCCGACTAATAAATACGACCAAATGAGGGCTATAAATTAGTGTGAGGTATTAGAATTATGATTTACAGTTGATTATTAAGGTGAGGAATTAGATTTAGGGTTTTCATCACGAACCGATATAATGCTATAATGCCAAAACTCTATTTAGCCATTTGTATGGGTGATTTTGGCGCCAAAATCCGAGACCTGTTATACTATACCTGATTTGTTCGACTATAAATTATAGTCTCGCTCACCAAGATTGAATATTTATTGAGTCATCTGTTGAAACGTTTTAGATTGAAATGACTTATACTAAATGATCGTTTGGTGGTCTATAATCTTAGGAAATTAGATGGCTCTGTTAGGAAGCTGTGAACCTGAGTTTCACGCTGGTTAGTTCCATCCCTTAGGTATATGTGAGATTTGAACCCGTTTTATTTAATATCACAATTGGGGACATTTTTCCTGTTATTTAGTGTTAATGGTAAAATTTCCTTTCGGTAAACATGTATCAATTTTAATTTGAGGAAAGCGGCGTATTACGATTAATTTGGTAATTTGAAAATAAAGTCTAACTTCTAAGAAGGCACTCATCAGTTCTTTTTATGATGTGTTAACCAACAACATTCCTGACAGCTGCTTCCTACCATCTATCTATAGAGTAGTGGATCCGCCATTGTTCCATTCAGACAAAATCAAGATAAACCTGATTCCCATGCAATTCAATATTAGTTTTGTGGGGCTTTTACTGATATGCACTCACTTATATTCAATACGACTACAACTCTTCATCACTAATTAAGATACTCATTATATTTTCATCTGGTTAACCGAAGTTAGTTCTACTGACAGAGACTACAACTAAAATAATATCTTTGATCAATTAAATCGTGGAGTAATTTCAGCTAGACACCACTGAAAAACAGGAAGCATTGGGCAGATTTTTCGTTTTTGTATGGGACTCATCAGGAGAAGGGATCTATGACCTCGTCACAAGGACAAGAATCCATGATTTCCGGTTTCTTACGCAAACGCCCAATCTGTAGACTACTGGTTATTAACTCGAAAAAATTCAGACAAGTTTCTGGGTAAAACGGTGGAATTAGTGAAACTTCAATCGCTGAGATTATTACCAATATGATTTTCACATGTAAAACTAAGGATTTCCTTCAATTCATAGATATACCTAGTTAACATTATGATAATTAATATATTATTAGCATATCCCAATGAGTAGAAAACTTGCATTTTTGACGTACCGTGACTTAATGTAAGCCACTTCTTCAAAGTGATTAGTATTGCTTATAAATATCCATATTATTCTGATAGAATTTCGTTCGTTGAGTTGGATTATTTCATCATGGAATTTCCATTGTTCTTCTGTACAACATCATCAACATGACCTTTTCTCTGTAGAACAATGAAAGCTTCAGGATTAAACCATTCAACTCAATGAACAAACCTATACCAAAAACATCCATCTAAGTTACAAATCTTCTCTACTATATCTATATTATAACTTGAAAATACCTGACTGAAAGAAGAAGACATACACAATAGATAAGGATCGAATTGACATCGGGAACTGATCAATCACCATCTTTCAAATGTACTGATATTTGCATACTTTATTTCCATCGGATAACTGAAGGTAAATCTAGTGAACAAATCACAAATCACATAAAACTCTCTTCTTGGTTTTTAACATTTACTGTAAATCAAAAAATCACCGTTGTTCGGTTTTCAAACTGAATATCTAAACATCAAAAATGAATTTATATAAATAACTAAACTGAACCTCCGTCACGTTGCTTCAATCCTCTATTCAGTTATCAAAAATCTTATGAAACACACACTTCTTATATGTATAATCCAATAAACATGATATCAATAACTTATTTCTGGTAAGAAATGAAGACTAACTTACCTTCATGTTTAGTGATAAAAGGAAGCATGATTTCACATGTTTGATTGAAATAACTACAACGTTTCCAAAATCCACTATGGGTAATATTGTTTGCTGAGAAAAATAAACAAAAAGAAATTATATCATAAGTGATTTGAATGATAAATGATTAACAAGGTTTGCAAGACAAAACCGATTCATATTATTTCATAACTCCTTATAACAGCTTAAAACAGATATAATCATAATCACTATTTAAAGGTGATATAAAATTGTGTGTATATTGTACACTGTTTTTTTTTACTATAACCAACACTGAATATTACATCAGCAATGCACTTCAATGATGCTTTAGATAAAAAGAGTTTCAATTCCTAACTTGTAATTATTCTTTTTCAGTTATCCAAGTCATCATCATTGTCATCCAAGGTAAGTATTCTTAACAAGAGTCTCGTAAGTGGTAGGTAGTTATATAAAATAACACTATCTAATAACAAGTTATGATAGGAGTTTAGTTAAACAATAATAGATAAGAGAAAAATCTTATTAGAAATCACATGTTCTGAATAAAAGATGATTGGTATTATGGTAGTTATAAGTTGTTATCCATTCAATTAACCAATGAATTACGAAGTATCAGACAGAGTGTGTGAGAGAGAATTTGAGGAACATCTCAAGTGTATATTCAGATGCTAAGATAAAGGTATAGGCTTTACAAAAGTAGAAAAACTCCAATTTAACTAGTAGTAAGGAGACATTTATTGTTTCGTTTAAAATTTTATCCCTTTTGGTTGTAGCTGAGACTGAATAGCTCTGAAAGACAGAATTTTTGGTTGCCATACAATTCAATGTCAAACAAGTTACCACAATCAATGATGTTAAGTAAATCTTTTTCAAATGAGTAATCCAGTCTAATCATTCATCTCTTCATCTGTAATTATTTAAAACTATGAAAAGGGATAAACCTCTTTATAAATAATATTATTTTTAAAGGTTAATTTAAGCTCTATCTATAAGAATCCTAAAATGACTTATCATTCATGAAATTAATCATATCCATTATAATATATTTAAATTAAAATAATATTGGACATTAAATAATGGGGATTGTTGCGGCACATATATGAAAGAAGTATTTAAATTTCTGTGAAGATAGTTTACATTTTATCAAAGACTGACATCATCTCAAAAATCGTAGATTATTTATTCTGCTTTAGGATCCTTAACATTAACGACGTATAACTCCAACAAGTGTTGAAACTAAAGTCTTGGTGTCTCATTATGAACATATAACCTTTAAATTCATTAATCTCCTTATTTCTAACTTTGATCAACTGCAACAGAATTAAAAATGATATTAATGATCACACTGATTTTATTCAGCTGTTTAGAACTGAGAACCTAGTCTGTATATTTAAACGAAGATTATTTTCCATCATCAATTATCCTGCTGAATTTAGTTTAGATTATTTGGTTATGAAATATTATCGAAGGGTGATGAACACCTAGATCATTCAGTACTATACTTTATTAGTTGTCTTAATCTAACCTATGGTTGTGATTGTATTAGATGAATTGATGATGTTAACAATATGAAACAAGCAAAAATTGCTGATTAATTATTAAGAATATACTTAACTGGCTATAAAAAAATCTGTTTCTATTTTATATATCATTTGCTGTTCACTAGTTCACTGAGTTCATTTGAAGAAATCATTATTAGCTATTGCTTACAAAATATGTTTATAATAGACTTCTTTGATGATAGAAAGTGTTAAATCTTCACTGTTTTTAATGTATATGATGTAAAACTGTTTTTTGTTCGGTCATCTTCACTACTGATTGATTTTATATTGGATACCATTGAAAAAACAAGGAACACTAAACACCTAGTATATCCTTAATATAGTACTTTTCCTTAGTGCATGTTCATGTGAAGGGTTAAACTTTGAATTTGAAGGTTCCTTGGTGAGTACTTAACCAATGGACTATTGAGCTGTAATCCCAACGTCTACATTTACAACTTCAATCTGTTTATAATATAGTGTGATGAATCATTGGTGATAATTATATCACTTCCAACAGATCTGAAATTTACAGGTCATAACTCTTTCTAGTATTTCAAGAAGTCATTTCACAATAACCCATATGATTATAAATTTGTTTTGAGGGTAGTTTTGGGGATTTTGTAAGTGATATTAGTTGAGGAGAAAAATATTATTTAATAAACCATTTGAATAAACACTAATTAAATTACAAACAGAAAAGAATCTGTCTATTTGTAAAATTAAACAAATCATACAGACAGAATTTTTACTTATCGGATAAAATGCATAGAGCTATCATGTAATTATTGAATAATCAGACAATCAGTTGATCAATTTATCAATCATTAGATCAGTTAGTCAATTAGTCAATCAATCAGTCAGGCGATAAATCAGGCAATTATTCAATCTCATTATATAATGGAATAAAATGAATGAATATAAATGAAATGAATTAATAAATAAATAAATTGGGAGCTTTAGAAAAAAAGATAAATTAACAAATACCGTGGATAAAAAGTGACAAAGACCAATGTGATCTTAACTAATGATACGATCGTCCTATATTTTTCGTTATTTGTGTTATTTATTTATTTGAACATATAAATATTGGTACAAAGGAGCACTGAATACATATACGCCACACAAGTCACTTGATTTTTGTGTGGGCTGTAACACTGTCCGGGTGCTCAGAATGAAGTAGGCGATTTTCTTAGGGGGCCACACCCGGAGCCTTCGACCTAAAGGTCTGATCCACAAGGCAGTAGAGCAACGTAAGGAAATGTAGTCCCATGTAAGCCGGTGACCAACAACAGGTTCATGCTCCGTTCGTTAAATTAGGATCCTGGAGCCCAGGGTTTTCCAACTCTCTGTATCCACCAACCCTGTTAAAGCGCCGGACATTGTCTTTTCGTCTTATCATTTTCGTAAAGAACAGTAATGCCTCGAGAAGGTAGTGCGTAGAATTTTCCTGGTAGTGACTGTATACGTGTGGACATGTGAGAGCGTTTCGAGAGAGAGAGAAAGAGAAGACCCTCCCCACTCTCGGCCTTACCCGGACATATCTAGTGAAACTGTACCATTGTATCTGTTATGAAATGAGTATTATTTGATTGTTTCGGATTTAACACAATTGAGTGATCTTTTTCTCAGGAAAAAATGATTATAAGTGAACCAGATAGATTAGTCGACCAATACTCAGCTATGCTTCAAAATTGACTGATCAAATCAATATTAAAGTGTTAATAACTATGTAAGGAGTTTACTGAAACTTTTGTGAATGAATTTTTATACCAATTAAACATTAATTTCAAAGTTGAAAGACTGATTATAAACCATATAAAACACTGTACCTAGTTTTGTTTTCATTATCGCTTAATAATACATGTTGAATCACTTTAACACTGATACTTAATAGTCATTGAAGAATCAAAAGAGTTTGAGATTAGCTTTAACAGTTTAGGTTATAAAATTGAATGGAAAATATTTAAGCAGCAATAAAAGTTCACTTTATGATATTAGAAAAATCTTCCAAATGAGAGATTGTTAACAGAATAAAAGGGAACCGATATTTCATTACTTATGAAGAAGTTAGAATAGTCTTCAAAAGAAACAGTATGACAACTCATATCATTAAAGCTTAAGGATTATCTCGTCGTTGATACCAAGGCCGAAATTTTGATCAGCCTATTTAGCGTGTGTGTATCCTGGTCATTTTATCAAAAGCATTATAAAAGAGTTGGATTGCCATCACCAGTGTAATCCAGGACTCATTTGTCATCTTATATTCAGTGAGTCAACTGGATGTACCTCTACCTCATTGTTGATATTGACACCAAGACTTTAGCGCAGTACCTTTGACTTCAAATGCAAATGTGTTATCTAATTAGCTACTTATTTGACGAGCCATAGATAATGACAAAATGCCCAATTTTAGTTTCACTTCTAATCATGGTCGATTTGCTCTATAAATGTATAATAATTATTCAATATCTGTTAATTTCAATGACAGATCATAGGTCTAATTGTGTGTTCTACGATTAGTTGTAGTCTAATAGGTAATCACAAAAACTTCCTACTCTGTTGATAAATTCAGTTTAAAAACATCATACATTTTTTATTAGTTCAATTTATAGGATTTTCATGTATTATTAGAGTATTGTTATATTGTATTGTATTTGTTCCAACTGGATTGTTTGATCAAATATAATTCTGTCCACATGAGAAGATGTACATTCATTGCTAACAAGTTGAAAATAATATCGATCGATAAATAACCTTCAAAATGACATGCATTTGTTGGTTCAAAGATATTGTACCCATCATAAAGCTTGAGAGTCATATGTTCGAATCTTAATAAATTTTACAAAAGATATACTAAAATGAAAAAGTTATCTAGTACTCTTTGAATCATCAATAGTTTCGCAGTTGATAATATTTCATGACAATGATCAACTTTAAATGTATGCATCATGTTAGTGTGAGAAATAGGTACTTCATTATCGTTATGGTAGATGCATTTGAGTAGATTGAGTATAAGTGAACTCTTTGATTATATCAACATTGAATGTGTAAGTATCTAGTATTCTTGTAATAACCATACACAATAACACTGAATAATTGAAAATAGATGATGAACGGTTAATAATCATGATTATAAGCATTCAATAGTTTAGTAGCAACCTGTATTAAGTAGCTCAGTAAATAGTGTGTTGGTCATCTGAAATAAATGTAATGGGTTCAAGCCTTTGCGTGAACATTAATATTGAAATGAAAATACATCCAACGACCAAATCCTAAACAAAACGTAACATGCTTCCTGACTTCCACTATTAACAACAATCCGTCTATTTTAATAACACCAAGCAATTTTATCAGCTGAGATGATGGTGGCTAGCAGTGGAATCCAGGACGCGCGTTTCGTCCTATTTGGGACTCGTTGGCTGGATGTGCCTTCATCCCAGAGTTGATGTTCACTTCGGGACTCAAACCCGGCACCGTTCGCTTCAAACGCCATCGCGTTATTCACTTAGCAATATCGAGGCAATCCGAACAGGATGCATATATGCCAATAAGAGCCAAATAAATTGCAGTCCTAAACATAAATGGGAAGCTTTAAGCAAACAATACAAAAATGAAGAAATAACTTCGTTTTAGACCAGTCCAATTTTAGGCCGTTTTTTTGCGTGTTTATTGTTGAGGAGTGTCAAACTATTAGGAAGTAGACGTACAGGCTTTATAGATTATGGAAGTTCTTCAGTGATAAAAAGAAAACTTCTAACAGCTATATCTGTTCTAATAGACAATTTAACAACGAAATAAAATTTTTCGAAGCTACTTTTCTACGACTTTATTTATATATATTGACCGGATGTTTATCAAGTATTTCAATTTTATTCTTTTCGTGTTACCTTAGTTCCAAGCTTTTATGTGAAACGTAAACCGTTGATATTGCATTTTCCACTCAAAAATTAGGAACGATTATCTGTATACCCAGTACTCAATTTTTTTCACCAATAATATTGTTGCTCCGTGTTAATACTGTTACCCCACTGGTCTGCTGAGTGGTCTAGTCTTGTATGTGTATAAATGGATGTCTGAGATATAATGACAATCTTGGGTTGGTGACTACTGGTCTGATATTTTTCCTCTTCGTTTGGGGCTAGCTGGTAATGAGCCTACCGTCAAGTATAGAGTATCAGTCTTCCTTATCCTTGATTTGCATCGTCGTCTACGCGTAGTGATCGGTTATAGGGCATAATAGTAACAAAGCTTGTTTTCACCATTAGTATTCGTGATATATAGGTATGTATAAATGTTCCTGAGTTCAGCTCCTTTAGCGATCCATGTTGAGCACTACTTGGAAGTTTTACATTGATACGTAAAGATTTTCAGTACCTCCTAACTATCTTTGATTGTCTAGTAAAAATAAATTTATAATGTCAACTTTCTTTAAGTATGCAGAATAATTTAACACTTGAACGTGTACTGAACACATTTTCCATACAAATGTACTATAATAAATTCACGCATTAATAAACAATATGATTAATATTGTATTATCGCTTACCATATCCCTGATATAACCATGTGCTGGCACATACAGAACAAACTAAGCAAACAGAAGCTACTCCAGCTAAACAAACTGCAGTAATTCTTGCACCTGAAAATATACTATGGTCCCAGTATTCAGCAAATTCTTGTATTTCACTTTCACCTAAATGTACAGACACTTTTAAAATTCCACTTGATGACATAGTTGTAGTATGTCGTGTTGTAGTTGGTGGTGATTGTTTAATATTAATATCATTTGATAAGGTCACTGATTTTTTAATCCCAGTTGGTTCATGAGTTTGTGATTCACTAATTCGAACTTCTTTATGTGATATAAAAGATTTTCTATCATATGGTATAATATCATCTATTGACGCACTAGGTGAAATTGTTTTCTTTAATGGTGATTGATAAATCTTTTTTTGACTACTATGATTACTTGTATCATCTATAATATCAGTAGTAACGTATGATGCAGACTTTTGTTTATGTGCTGAAAGCCCATGATCATCTTTGATTTGCATAGGATAAATCTGTAATATTTGAATAAATACATGAGATTATTATGAGTTGCAATTAAATAAATCATAAAATAAAAATATTCAATAATGGACTATTTAGGCGATGAGCACTAAACAGTGTCATGTTTTTTATTGAGACTATAAGTCTTGCCGATTTCATATACTTACTGGTCCACTTTTTATATTTAAAGACTGTCACCAGAAAAACTTTGAAGCTAAGTTTTATGTTAAAAGTTCTCATAAATAAGATTTTTTCACAACAGTAATTCAATTAACTAAGCTCTAAAGAAGATTATTCATGATGTGAATGACCCGATGATGGCTGAAACAGGCTCAAATTTCACAAAAAAGTTTACTTTACTGACTTATGAGTGCCAACTCAGAAAGAAATCGTTAGTCTAAAATATCCTGTTGATTACGTTTGGCTATCCCATGTTATTTTAGGAATTATTGAATAACCCAATAAAAGCAATGAAAATACATACAATTCTTCAGAAAATTCAGGTAACTAGAATTAAAATATGACCAAACTTTACAAGCTGAATTTGATAAGTTTCAAAATGAATATATATATTTGAATAGTTTTGTCACCACGATGGACTCATCAGTTCACCATACCATACCTTTGATTTTCATACAAAATGATGATAGATTTTATATCAAAGTGGTCATAATCATACAGTCGTAGTAGCAGTGGTAGTAAAAATAATAATAATGATCTAATGAACAAAAATCCCAATAATCGGTCTTATACATCTTAATTTCGACGAAAATATATTAATAATTAATTTTTACAACAAGTGAGTGCTTTGAAAATCCATTTTATGTTATTATAGTGAGGAAATACAACCAAGAGAATATCAAGATAAACGTGATAATGTTATACATTAGTACCCACTAAGTTTACATAAAACATCTATCATATCTGATGTCGTTTTCATTCTTTCAAAGATGACTATTATACAACTGTTTTTTTTGGTAATGAAATTGATTATATAAACAAAAGTAACCAGTACATCAGCCATGTCTGAAATAGGCAAAATCAGCAGGACAGTAACACAAATTTTAAAGGGTAATATTCCCGGAAATCTTGATAACGACAGCACTATTCAGGAGTTTGAGAGGTGGGATGGTGAAGACTTACTGAAGTACAATGGATGATGGAGTATCAAAACAGAATGAATAAGTGGCAAGCTTTTCAGTAATATGGATGAAATCCTTCATAGCAGTTTTAAATCACAAGGAGATTGAATTAACTGTGATGAATTTACAAATAGTTTTAATCGTCTTTACTACGTTTTCTATTTTAAAAAATCATTTTTATCAAGCTATTTCTGATTGCTTAAAACCGAGCAAATATTTCTTGAGATCATACAGAGTCATGTAAGTTTATTCATCACATTGAATGTAAATTGTATGACAAAATTATAAATTTTAGGTATATGATCCAATTTATAACATAGTTTCTAAATGGTTAACTAACAGTAAGGTAAAATTTCAGTGAATGATTGCGATAATGTTGATTGATCTACATAGGTCTTTTTTCATATAATCCATAATTAAATAAGAACGATGTAACAGTATAATTGAGTTACTTCAACATATAACAGTAGCCCTTTCCAATGAAATGGTCTGATGGCAAACTAAATATTGATTGACTAATTAGTGGACTAAATTGTTTGTCTATATCATATTAACGAAGTTACTGAAGTGTTGTTTAGCTTATACAACAACTCAAACCATAGTTACAAAGTGATTTTAATCACTAGTTGAGATAATCTAATAAATACTACAATAAACTAATCAATTCTGTATTTTTCTTATCAGAGTTTTAGCTTTACCTTCAAAATGCTTTGGTTACTGCTTTAATTACAGATTCTTAATAACTGGAAAATCATTTTTAAAAATATCGATGAATACTGAACATCAGTTTCGTCTTAACTGTACATTGCTCAACATAATGAAAACATTATTCTACAATAGAACAAATCTAAGACTTACAGGTTGTAAACAGAACATAATATCATTAGACTTTTAAAACTCCAATCAATTTTTCGTATTAATAAATGTACTTATGCCTACAAACTATTGAATTATTCAACTGTTTCTGATTAGTCAATCAAGTAATTGTAAACTATGATAATATTATCGCTATCAAACTATTCATATATATGTACATTTATGGACCCAATATTATAAATAATAGACAAATCTAAAAAGAATATGAAACAAATCTTTTTTCTGCCCTCTAACCGGAATGAATTACTTACTTTTTCATTTTTTTCACATAAATTATTGTTATCCACATTAAATCTATTCATTAATGGATGACCTTTTGTTTCAGATTCAAAATCACCTTTTTCTTCAATTGGAGAGAAAAAATTATAAGTTTGAATATAACCTGGATGAATTAATGGTCTTGTTTTACTACTTGACAGTGATGGATAATCAAATGATGAAGAATAATATGGAATATGATATTTAAAGTGTTGTTGACGTGTAAATTTCGATTCTAAACTTTCTTCAGGATGTTTTAATTGTTCATGAGATGAATGATGATACTGTTGGGATGTAGATGGTTTATGCAATGGAGTTGGCATATATGATGGTTTATCTAAACTTAAAGCTTTTCTCAATGAATCACCTCTGTGTGGAGTTAAATATCTATCTGTTTTATGTGTTTGACTCCATGGACGTTTGATAACTTCATCTTCATAGGCTATTCGATGTTGTTTATATGGAGAAAATTGTTCATGATAAGGACGTTTTCTACCAGTCGTATATTTAGTGTAATTGTATACATCGATTGGATAAACTTGATCAAAATGTTCAATTCTTCTATTATCTTCTCCTGTAATATTTTTAGAAGTTTGTGTAAGTAGATTAAAAAAAGAAAATAAGGTAATTAATTGTAAACTGTGTGGAAAATGCTTAACGATATTGTGTAAATCACATATACGAAATTTGCAATTATTTGTAATGTAACAGTCTATTAGTTATATAAATGTAAAAATTCGTGAAAACCATTCGTCTACCAAGTACTTTTTTCTTAAACGAATGAACTGTAACTAGCAGTGTAATTGAAGAAGCACGTCTTGCCCGACTTGGGACTCGTTAGCTCGATATACTTATATTTCAGTGTTGATGTTCATACTGGGAATCGAACTCAGTACTATTCTTTATTAATGCCAACTGATTATTAACTCCGCTAATAGATCTATGTAAACACTCAATCGTTAAACAGGTATTATGTTTATTCTATATTTATATATTTTATCATAACGATGTAAATACTCGCTACTTCATTATTAACCTTGTAAAAAATTCGATCGATTGTTTTTTTATAGCTTGTATGACTTTCAAAAGCGTCATCTTAATGCCTTCATTCTAAGAAGTTTCCAAATGTCAATCAAAGTCAATCTCATTTAGTCTTTATTAACAAATCTTCCGGGAGGATTTGTATTTTGAATTACCATGCCTATAAAATGCGTTATCCAGTGTATCCGCATTGTATTACATCATCTAAATAAACATTACTAAACAGACAAAATAGTTTATTGTTTAGCCTAAAGAGCTAATTTACTAAATTGGAAACATTTTGTCAAAAACAAAATAGGATTATTCTGATAAACGTATAAACTTATAATACATTAGACGTCTTGTGTCTTTTTGTTGTTGCTGTTGTTGTTGTTATTGTTGAAGATTTACCAAAAAACGAACACGGAAATATTTGATGATTATTGTCAAATAATTTTGTAGTTACCATTTAGTTTGAAAATGCATGAAAATTATGTAACTGAATATGCAATTTCATACAATAACGTATTTCCTGTCGAAAAATTAGGTTTGTTCATTGTTTTGTCTGAAGTATGATGATATGCCTACATCAAAATATTTCCTGTTTAAATAAACGTTTTTGTTGTCTGAAACTATGTTCTAACTAATGACTAGTTTTAAAATAGATTTAAACATTTCCAACATGAAAATATGGCTGTCAAAGTTTAACCAATAGTATTGTAGTGAACAAGAACACTAGTGGGGACAACCAAACATGTTTGAATGCAAAATTACAGAATCTCTTAGTAAAAGCTGAGAACCATACAGTAATATTTTATTTGCAAAATCTCAATCAACAGTCTCAGACTTTGTTGTTCCTTCGTTTCTATACCGATCTTTGTCTATTCTCATTCTCTTCTCTTCGATCTTCTTAAACTTCTGCCGCCTAGCATTCCACTATGGTTCGCTAATACATGCTACTTATAACTGTCAACATCAGTAGCACACACCACAGTATGATACATGAGAAACTGACTTAAATGCGAGAATATCAACTGTTATATTCCGATTTAGAGATCTAAGCTTATTACGCTAAAAGTTTTGTATTTAATCTTATTTAGGATTTCGGGTAAACATTACTAAATAGTGTCGAAATTGAACGAAACATCTGTTCAGTGTTCTATATTTGTCAATAGTTGTCGCCGGCTATCAGTCTGTCATGAAATCTCAACTGTGAATTCAACCATCTCAACGAAATTTCTTCTTAATAGAAGAAACAAGAATTCAACATAATATTTTGCAGTTATATTTCTCCTTAAACACTGACTTTTCGGATTACTAAGGCAACACTTAACAATGAGTATTTGGTTATATTACAGAACATAAAAATACTTATATAGTAACCGAAGTGTCAAGACTCGCAAATTTGCAAACCTTATTTAAGTTATGGTGAAAAGGCTATGACTACCTAAAATACATGTTAATAACTACAGATACTTGGTACATAAGTATAAGTTATGTTAAAAAGTCATTCCGTATGAAATTCTAATGATATTTGATTGGTAAAGTATAGAAGAATAATAAAAAACCTAATGATTTTTACCATTTATTCTTAACGACTTTTCAAAATTGCCCCAGCCAGCAGTATGAATCTACTAATTCAATTTAGGCCATGCTGATTATCGAGCCTTAAATGTGTTTTTTTCTTACGAGCTTAGATAAAAATTGGGACTGAGTAATAGAGTAGTTCTTAATATATATTTAATGTTATGTACGTTTTGAGATGAATACTAAACATCCATTGATCCGCCTGGAGTCCCTCTGGGGCCACTGCCGGTGCCAAGCCCAGATGAAGGAGAAGGGTTGTGCACGGGGTTAGTGACTCCATCCCGTAGAAAACTAACTCGTTAAAAAAACGCTAACCAGAAAAAAGAATTCAAACCATTTAAACTCTTTCTCGCGAGTTAAATAGTCTTCATTTAGAAGAGTTATGACGTCTCATGGTGAAAGCCGAGTTCCTTGGGAAGTCACGAGGCTGATGCCCCTTCTGACAACCAGAGCAACCATTAATTTAGGTACATCTTGATCTGACAGTCCAGTAAATCAGTTAAAACATTGAACCATTTATTTTCACATTCTTCCAGTATTATACTTGATTGTTTAGATAGTTTACACAGTTTTGCTAATAAGTTGAAGTGTTGAAAGTGATTTGTGCTACAAATTGATACCAGATAAAGAGCTCTTGTTCATCCAAGAATATTGAACAAACACTTTATTCTAGACCCATCCTACTGAATAAAGCGTTGACTCAATATTCGAAAAAATCAGTTTCAGTACAACTGTCTGACTTGTTAGATTTTGAAACCTAAATTTTTAAATTTTGGTTTTGATTTCATCATTATGACGAAAAATTTAACATATTTCGGTGTCATTCATAAATTAAAGAAAGAAACATCGTTTTTTACCCTTCTTAGACTGATAAATTTGTTCTGTTGAATGTCTTTTGAGAAGTGAACATATTTTTTCGGTTGATATAAATTATTTAGAAAAAACTAATTATTTGATGAAAGAACGAGTTCATTTTCAAAGCAGTACGATAGTACAAATATGTGATAAATTAAAGGTCAATAAACAATTACATGTTTATAGGGGACAGTAGCAGTTTTTTTCAATTTCATAGTTAACATCATAAAATGATCTTAATGAAAAAAACCCACTGAAAACCAGGAACCGTTGAACAACTCTTACGGAGTTCCAGTGAGAAGCTGTAACCACTGAATTTCAACTACGTTGTGTGTAAGATTGTTATCTAACGAGTACATTGAAAGATGGTTGGACGATATTGCTGAACAGACTAAAGTTAAATATGTACACCATTGGATTTCAGATCATTAGTGGGGTTATTAAAGTGTACTGATGAGGATTTCAGTGCTAGAATGAAACAATTGTCCAGTGCTTCCTGGTTTACAGTGACTGCTTAACCGAGATCATTTCGTGATAGTAACTACTAAACTATAAGCCTGTCAGAGTTCAATTAGTTGTTGTGTGAAATCCTATTATGTTTTTGAATGAATAAATAACTTTTCATGGAGGAAGTTTATGAAACATGGGATGTATTTAACAAACTAGATGAAAAATGTGACTGTATCATTAGGTTGCAGTGAACATGAATGAATAGTGGCCGAGAAATGGAAGTAGAAATATTCCTTATAACACTACTAATAGTAATGAAAGTAAATTATAGTAAATTAAAATCATTTGTAAACCTAAAAGTGAGAACGAAAAAAAGAAGGAATCGCTAAACAAACAGAATAAAACTACAAACTCAGACTAGTGTAAAGACTTGGATTTAACAAATTTTGGTACGCATAACTTAAGTTTCAAATTGTTGATGGTCAATGCTTTTGGAATGTAAAGTAAGTTAGAGTGTACACCTATTTGTGTCTTTGATTGGGATATGGAAGTGATTTCAAATGATGATACGGAAGCTAAATATTCATTATCTGTTATACGTTACAGAACCAACGACGTAATTAAGTAATATTTACCGTGCTAAGCCACGATGGTAGGTGCTTTTCAAACCCGGCTTCGACAAACGTCCCTCACACATAGCTCAGCAAAAACTAGGGAAACTGGTAAACCCACATCAAATTGATCAGTTTTAGTAACCTATAATAATCACATAAAACAATGGATCTAGTAATTTGTACGGAAATTTGCCGCTCTAAATGTCATTCTAATATATCTCTCTGCATAGTCTTTTTTAGCATATCTAAAGATTTACAATTAGTGGCTGTTTTGAACGCCACATTAAATTTCTGAAGATTGTCTCTTGTTCACGTTGTTCTCCGTAAATCTAGATATTATAATGATGTAATCAAATTTCACATAACAACCAATCAAACTCCAACAGACCTATGGTCGCCGACTGACTGATAGTTTGTCAAATGTACATAGTGATGACAAATATATACACGACTGTACAGCTTTGAAGGAATTCCTTTTCTAAAGAAATTTTTTGATTTAATTAATATATGTGAATTAAGCACAAAAACGGTTCATATAGCCTACACCCCTCTAGTGTTTGATTAAAATACATGCAAAAAAAAATTTATTTCAACTTTTTGGGAAGAAAAACTCTTTTACATATATACTAATATAAAGCTGAATGTAATGAATCTCACGAAATTGTAGAGTGATCTCTGATAACCTGAGAATGGAGTTTTTTGTAGTTTATTTTAAAATGATTGAATCCGCATGGCGAAATAAGCTATTTGAATTGTACGTTATAAACATAATGACCCATGTACTAATTACATTGATTTATGATTGCAAGCAAATAAAAAGTCGATAGGTCCAGCTGAATAGAATCAGAAACAACTCTTCTATATGGAACTTCAAAACACTGTCAGAGAATTCAATACATGTTAAAGTCCGTTTGTGGACATATAACCCATTAAAGAATGTAGCCCTTTAACTCGGTCATATGTTTAATAAAGAGCCACCAAAACTGACAGGATGACGCAAGGCTAGAAAAGTCACTGATAAAGCGATCGAACAATCTGACTTCAGAGGATTTCTCTGAATGTTTTAGACAATGGAAACGGAAGTAGGACAATGTCACTGTCACATATAAGAGATAAGCGTCACATACAGTGTTTAAAATGAAGCTTTTTGACCGTTGCCTGATCATTTATTGGGAAGGTTACGTAATATTTTTTTAATCAAAGTACTGAAATGAAATAAGCTGTAACCAGGACTTTATTACGCAGTCCGTCTTACAATTTTCAATTATTAACATTTTCATATCGCATTCTAAGCCTTCTAGTTAGAGCGTTAATGCTTCAATTGTTGGCATTTGATAGCATTATACAACTTGTACAAGAAGTAATGTATGAACCTATTTTGCTCTCCTGTGACTAGGAAGTCACCATATCACGAAAAACAATGTTTCAATTTTAGGCATTTATAACTAAGTTCCTAGATTGTGTCTAGTAGAGACACAAGTAGGGTACCTTAGAAAACGAAAAGTACCCTATGATTCCCACCCATTGGAAAACATAACAAATATAGAACCAATCAAAATTACTACTTTTATAAACGTTAAGCAGTATATTGTTCTACTTAAGTATACTTAAACAATGAGGTATACACAATATAATCTATCAAATAAACTTACTTTCAGAAATCAAGATCGTTACTAACCCAATAGAATGTCTTATTTGAATAAAGTAAGTAGTTCTAAAATACATCTTGACAATACATTTGTTTTCACAATGTGGACTAAAGTTGTGATTGTTTGTTTTCACAGTGAAATGACCAAATTAGAAACAACAAGGTTATTACTAATATATATTTATGTATCAGAAGGGATTTTGTGGAGATTTTGGTAATTTCATTAGTTGTGATCATGAGTCAATTGAAGCTAGACCACCATGGAAAACCTGTGACTCCTCAGCAGTCCGCATTGATTAGCCCACTTCACGCGATTCAAACCCAGGACCTATCAGTCTCGTGCGCGATACAATGGTGAGTGTTTCGTTCAGTTTCATGGATTAGTTGAAGTTTGACATTAACACTGTTGGATGCCAGTTCAGTGGTCTAGTGGTTAAGCACTCGCGCGTTAGACGGATAGGTTCTGGGTGTGAGTCTTGCGAGGTGGTATATTGGATGTGCACTTCTGTGGAGTCATATACTATTACAAAGCGGCCATCCAGTGCTTACAGGTTTTCCATGGTGGTCTAACTTCAATTGATTCATCATTTCAACTATTTATGTATTAATGTCTTGAAACAACAGAAATATTTGTTTAAAATGATTCAAAGTGAACTATTCAAATCTAAATATTTCATTTTTGAATTGAATACCTCTCCCATATTTAATATCATTTAATAATAAAAATATTCAACTAAATCCATTTATCATTCAAGAAGCTGGTAGAAATACAACTATTACATTGTATATCCATTCAATGATTTAGTGAAATCCTATTTCTTTAATTTTACAAAAACAAATAAATGACATCCTTAAAAACCAAATACATTTCAAATACAAATACAAAACAAACTCATCAAAAAGAAACCTAGTAACTACTCAATTTCTGGTACTTTAAATTTTCTAATCAGATGAAATAAGAAAATTACAAAAAAAGAAACAAACAACCAAATACTCTGTTTGACAGATAATTACTTTCTTATTTAATTAAATTAGTCAATTAACCACCACCAGCAGCACCATCACCACCACCACCAACAACAACAAAAACGAAACAAACAATTATTTATGTTTTTCAATGATCTCTTTTAATGATCAATCGTTTTTTAATGTCCGAAATCGAGTTGAAATAAAAACAATTAAACGACCTTGAAATGGACATATTAGAAAGAAAAAAATATACTACATTAATTCAAATTAAGTCAAGTTTAATAGAAACTACTAATATCAATGAATTAAGTTTGTTTATAATAGAATATTTAGACATTATGAAGTTTTAAATTTCAATATTATTGATATGAAGAAAGAAACAAGAAGCTTTGACAAAGTACGGAAGCTATTTTGGGGGGAGGGGGGTGTTATTTCATTTAATTTAAATCTTGTAAAAAAAAAAAGTAACATTTGTTTTTATCCCTAGTCTATTCTATAGATCATAAGCTTACGTTTGATGTATGAATCACTAATATAGCTCTTTTTGTTCCAAAACTATTGTAATTTAAACGCAATATTTTGTACTCTATTTTCTATGCTTATCTTTAATTTTGGATATAATTGTATTTTTCCTAATTGTTGTGCCTTGTGGTCTGGTTAGTTATTTATTTATTCATGTACTCTTTTACATTAATCTGAAATCGGGAAACAGATCGAAATTGGGAATAAATAGTGTAGTGTTCCAGTTGTCTTCTCTTCATTCACTTGCGTGCTTGTCAGCCAGTCAGGTGATGGAATAAATTTCGTCTCTCTACTCCAAGCTAGACTGTTATAGAAAACCTTGAAGCAACAGACGGCCGTTTTGTTCTAGTTTGAGATTCTTCGGCAGTGTTTCCAGGTTTTTCATGTTGGTCTAACTTCAATCGACTCATGAATTCAACTATGAAAATACTATCATATTCACAAAACCCCTCACTAGAATATTAGTCTTCATAATATCACTGTGTGTTATGTATCATTGTTTTAGGTAACGAAGCTTTAACTCCGATATTCATCTTACATGATTCTTTCACTTGGGAAAATAAGATAAATCATAGATATATAGAAGGAAACATTGACTGACTGAGCCTCATTTAATGGTTCAAGGTTTTATACTTACTAAATTATCAGTTAGTACTGTCATGGATCCTAAGACATGAATGAAACAACTGTCTAACGTTTTCCTGATTTTCATTGGTCCTTCAATTATATGAGTTCAATGTGATCGTTTAATTCAAATTAAACGATCCATATAAACTACTTATCTTGATAGTAATACGTAATGACAGTGTAAATAAATTTTTCCGTACAGTGACTGAACAATTTTTAACAAAATTAAATAAAACCACATTATTTTTACGTCGAAAATACAAACATGTCTAAATTAGATAACCATTAATAATCTAGAAACACTGAACAGATCTTTTCTTCTACGATGAGATTCTTCAGTAGTGCACATCCACGATTGTTCAAACTATTCATATAATTCCTACTTTAGACCTATTTATTCGATAAAATTATGATTGTTCTGATGTAGTTTTGTTCTCTGAACTAGATGTTTTAGTTGACCAAAACACAAGATCAAAACATCCAGCTCAAAGAACAAAACCCCTTCAAAATCCTCCACCTGAACTACAAATCTTCTCTACCATCTCAAATTATGATTTTATTCATAATAATATAATTCATTTTAAATAATAAAGACCTAACTATCTTAATGATAAACGAGTTAACAACAATGAAAAAAAAATTGTTTTTTAAAACTATTAGTTGTGTTTTGATTCATCATAAAGTAAATAGACAACATAATCTAAATAGATTTATTGATAGACAGAATTTTTTTAATTATAAATAGTTTCAATGAAAATGTTAAATCAATCAATTAAAATCGATATTGTAAGGAACTTGGAAAGAATGGAAACAGTCTATTACTTTTTAATTTTATTTATAAAAATATAAAAATGATTATTTGAGAAATCACTGAAGTATAAAGAAAAAATGAACCCCTTCTTATTTAGTGACTCTTCAGTTGTCAGTTATTAAACCTAGATCCTTTAGATCTTGTATCTAATGGATTTTAGTTTGAGAAATTCTTTTAGTGTTTACTAGTTCAAATTTTAACTTTTGGTTATTTGAGATCAATCAATGAATACTATCTTTGATTGAACTTTATCAGTTACAATATATTAATAGAATTTCATGAATCCATTTTATTGTCTTATCATTTTTAATAATTACATTTATGAAACAAATGATAGAATGAACAAACAATCTGATCTGACTGCTATCAAATTTGTTTTATCCGTTAGAATTTACACATTTATGAAATATGATTACAAGTCATTTGAGTAGAATAATAAAGATAAGATATATCTGACAATTTGTAGAGTAACCGATTTTCAATATTCAATCTATGTTAGATATCAAAGGTTTTCTTGGATGTTTTTTCCCATTCATTCTTTATTGTGTAAAAAAGCATGATATTCACTGGAAATTACACTTGAAGCTTTAAGTTTTATTTTATTTGCTTTGACATCAAATAAGTTGGGATAAACTACAGTGGTATGTTTAGAGAAGACAAATGTAAAAAGCTTTAGATGACTAAAATGGAATTGTTAGGGAAAGTTTTACCTTCACATACATCACTAGTCACTTAAATAAACAAAAAAAGGTGCTTCGAAATCTTATATATTACACTTTGTTGAACATTCAAAAAATAATGGTTATATTCACCACAGCCATATTTATTCTTATATTCTGTACACTATTAACTAAAAAACAAATCATCATTATCCGGTATTATTATTTGAAAAATGTAAAGAATCACCCAGATATTCATTTTGATCTTTACAATGACTCAAGAAAAAAAAGCTTTATGTCTTCAACCTAACTCGTAAACAGGTGGAAAAAGAGGTATTTAGATTGTTTGTAAATATTCTTGATTATTGTCATTTATAACTACAGAAAAGTCCAGATGAGTAATTTTGGAAAAAAACTTACTTTCATTCTCATCATACTGTATTTCAGTTGAATCAGCGAAAACCGGTGAAACTCTTACTTCAGGTATTTCAGCTGATGTCCATCTTCTACGAGTTGAATGTGTAGGTTTAAGGTGAAAAGAATCTTGTGATTCTCGTAATAATCTTTGTGATTCATCTATTATGCCCATATCTAATCCAAAGTGATATTTTTCATTAAATCGACCTAATCGTCTCAATCTACAAAAGGTTTGAAAATCCATATGAGGTTCTTTAAGTTTATGCTCCATTAATAAACCATTATAGTAAGCTTCTTTCTCATCAGTCGGTGGGGGTGTAGTATAAAGTTGTGTTTTAAATTGTGTTTTTGATCTAGTCGGCATCCAATCAGTGTTAATATTCTCCGCACTATCACCTAATGTACGTGATCTTCTGTAAAGTGCCCTCGATGTTTGCTGTTCATGTCGTTTTCGGTGTTGTTGATCCATCCAATAATAGTCTTTTGGATAGTACCGTCGATCTTTTCTATATATTGGACCCCAATGTACTGAGCGATTCCGCATATCTGATAACATTTTCTCTCGCGTACCATCATCTAAACCTGAGGCATATCTTGAGAGGTTAACATCAGTTTCAGTGAAATTTGGCCAGTTTATTGTTTCATGTTGGTCGAAATAAGTCAGTGGTACACTGCCTTCATCACTTCTGGATATGTTTGTTGTTGGTAAGTTTGAGTGATTGTATGGTATATTGTGAGCATAATATGTCTGGTCAAAGCTTCTTGTTGTCATACGAGGATCCCTCATAGTACGACGTGGTGGAATATCACTTTTTGGTCTGTATGGTGAACCAGATTCACTGATACTGATGGCTGTTTCTGGTTGGTAATCTGGTTGATAAACTGGTTGCTGCAATTTTACAGGCTTCTGCCTATGTTGTGAGGATTTCACAAAATCTCTATTTAAGAAAGATTCCTGTGGATTTCCGGGAGCTATAGTGGAAGTATATATTTTTAAAGGAAATTCTTGTAATAAATGTCTTTCAGTATCCCCATCATCACTTGTCAAGTGTTTTTTTACAACAAGAGGGCGAGTAGTTTGTTTTTCATCCAAACTTTTATGAACGGTAATAATAGTTCTTGGATTATGTACATACTGTGAAGACATTTTCCGGTAGAATGGAGTTTGTCCAGTTTCTAAAGATACCCAATCTAGGCTACTGCCTAAACCTGATGTATCTGCACTCCCACGTTTAATAGATGTATCAAATTGTTTAGACGCCTTTCTAATACGTCTCATATTTGCACTCGCAGAAGATATATGCGATGGAATGTGAGGTATTGAAAATACTGATTTACGTTTTGTTACATAACTTCTTCCTCTTTCAATATTCACATTGTCACCTAAGTCTGCACTTAAAGTAACATTCTGTACAGGATCACAGAATCTTTTAACACCTCTTGATAATCTACCATAATCATAATTTTCAGCACTTTCAGTATCTAAACTTATACGACAATGTGAATGTGAAGTAAATGGTGAATAAGCTGTTGAATATGGTTGATTATCATATGCAAAATCAACTGAAACACCTGAATCCTGAGTTTTAGCTAATGATCCAGATTCTTTAATTAATGAACCTTCATGTTGAGTTGTTATATCTTTTTCAACATCATCTGGACATTTAACAGCTGCACGTGCTGCTAATGACCATAATTTACGCCTTCTTTCACTGGGCATTCGATGAAATGATTTTATATCATGTTCACTTTCCATTATTATTACTATTATTAATAATAATATTTGTATTAATAATAATATTAATAATTTTTTTAATAATGTCGTTATTCTTTTGATTCAATTATCAGATAAATAACATTATTTTACTAATATATATGTATATATAGAAAGTATATTAAGCATTATGTTATAGTTGAATAAAAGGTTGATATATACATTTGATCATTTATCATAGAGTTTCGTCTTAATATTAAGCTCATCAATAGAAATAGTACTAAATAGTAATAATAGTAATAATAATAATATTGATAAAAATAATATACTAAATCGTTATGTAGATCCTTTCTTTTATCAATAATATTATATATCATTACTTTGAATTTATAAATTCATTAAATTAATACTCCAATATGAAGATTACTATTGTGATAATATTAAATAGAGGTAATATATAAATAAATATTGATTATAATCCGGAAATAAAATAATATAATTTTATGTATATTATTTCCCCTTTCATAATCTTTATAAATAGTATCCAAGTGACAATTAATTGATTACAATATTATTATGTTACATCATATTCAATAAAAGAATATTTTTCTTTATTTTTTTAAAAATTTTTGCATTGAATTTAATATCAGAATATATTGGAACGACAACTAAATAAATAAATAATTAATTGAATTTGAATAGTATATATTATCTAATATACATAATAATAGTAGGAAAAAAATATATATATATATATATCTATTCCTAACAGTAAGATTTTGAGAATATTTCCCCATAGTTATGATTGGTTAATACAAATAAGACGACCTTGTGTTTGGAATTTTGAGGAAGGTGAGAGAAATTATAGATTTTAACCAAATGAAGTAGGCTGATATGTATATTTATATATGGAATCGGTCTTCAAATCTCTAACTAACTAAAAAGATATATATATACATATATATATATATATATATATATATATATATATATATACAGAGAGAGAGATAGATAGATAGATAGATAGATAGTTTCATCAGGAGACACAAGTTACGTTGTTTTGCTCTATTTAGTGGATTTATATGAATATTTAAATGTGTGTTAGTCACGTATTCAATTGTTTACATTATGAAAAGCATTCAAGAATTTTTGAGTACATATAAGGATAGACATAGGATTTTCTGTAAAGCCATACGTTTAGTTAGTGTGTTTGTATATCATTGATGAGAAAGACTAATCAGAGAACTACTTTTCGTAATCGGTGAGAGAGAAATCATTATATTAGAAACAATTCTTTGTGTGATTTACGTATAAAGTCTTTATTATAAAAGAATATGTCATATCGGTTAAGGTAGCAGGAAACCGTAAGTTAAATAGGTGAATAATTAAGTCACTGAAATGGTTTATTGAGTAGATAAGCAATAAATTCAATTTCGTCTTTCGTTTTTTTATTTTGTTTAAATAAGCAATTGAATCAATTTGTGGTTTATTCATGTTCATTGTATTCAGTGGTCAGAAATAAATGAAGTATTACATAAATGATATATTTTATGATTATGGATCAAACATGAATACGAATGAGATCCTAACAAGAGTAGTTACTGTATATTCATAATGGTTGTTTGATCGATTAAATACAAACTACCGGTTGACTTAATGGTGATTTACACAGATTGATTAGAAGTACAATCAAATCATATGTAGTCATTGTATATTTATTGTGAACTATATTTTAGACATTTCAATTTTATGTAATGAAATAAACTTTTTTATTAACTTTTGATGAAATATTATAGTTTCTGTGATAAAGAACAACGACCCATCTTACATTAAAAAAGGAAATCAACATTTCGCACAACACCACAGTTGAACAGTTCATATGTCATTATTTTTCAATGAGTTTCACATTGTATATAACTAAAGATGAAAATTCCTTGAAAGATTTATTCATTTCCATTTCTACAGTTCATTACAAATACATACAACCTCAATAAAATTCTAGAATTTCTTAGACTTAAACTTCATTTAATCAAAACTCATTTCTTTAAACAGTTAGTAATATTGTGCATCTGTAATGATATAATCGAAACTTTTAAAACTACTATCCAATAACATATTACTTATACATTAGAGAAATGATTTTGCAGGGATTGGTTTATTTGTTGGTAGCATAGAATACAATGGACAGCTTGCATACAGTTAGATGATTAGGACTCCACAGTTGACTTAACTCTTTTATCTCATACACACAAATAAATGAAGACGAAGACAGCCAGTTCAGCAGCAGCCTTCGCATCAGTAGGCTTCAACTTACACAAAGAAGAAAGCAAGACCCTCAAATACAACACGGAGAACGCCAACCAAATCACTCTGGAAGAGGTGGAATGTTTCACTTACCTGGGTAGCATCATCGATCAACAACGAGGATTGGCAAAGCAAAGACAGCATTCCTACAGTTGACGAACATATAGAACTCGAAGCAACTGTCAATCAATACCAAAGTGAGAATTTTCAATAAACGTCTAAACAGTTCTACTGTACGTAGCTGAAACGTGGAAAACTACCACAGCCTTGATCAAAAAGATAGAAGCAGATATAAAAAATTGTCTACGTATGATACTGAATGTCCGTTGGCCGGATACTATCAGCAACAGACTACTATGGGAGAGAACAAAACAGCTTCCAGCTGAAGAGGAAATTAGGAAAAGGCTCTGGAAGTGGATAAGATATACATTACGGAAATCCTAAAACTGCATCATGAGGCAAACGTTAACTTAGAATCCTGCTATGAAACGGCAAAGAGGAACACAAAGTTTTTGTATAGGACTCCTTGATTTGTTAAAGTACAAACATAAAACTACTGTCAATTTGAATGTTACTCTGGCGAAACCAAACTTCCATATATCTAAGCTTAATGATAATAATAATAATATTTCATCAGAAGACAAAACTAATTATCATCTTCAAACAGTTTAAATTTGCGTTAAAAATCTGTCTGGAAGTAAATTATTTACATAATGTACTTACTGAAACTAAAATATTCAAAATGAGATAATTAATAAGATGAATAAGTCATTATCAACAAAACTAGACACAATAGTCAAGATTTATGAGTAATTGTTTTGTAAAACATTTAGTAATACGAGAAGGTAATTTAGATGAGAGTATGAATATTAATAGTAGTAGTGTGTGAGTAGTAGAAGTAGTAATGATACGAATAATAAAACAAAGTAGGTGACTGCATCATTTACACGAGATATATTGAATAAACATAATTCAGCAAAAGTCCATGGACCTTACAAAGATGACATTATTTCAAAACAGTTATTATTATCAAATTAAACAGTTACATTACATTTTCCTTTTGGATAATTAGGTTGCTTTAAAAAAAAGCTTTGATAGAAATAATCTTTTTAGAAGCGCACCCAAGACGGAGTTCGTCCACAATTAATTGATCACTGGGTAGTGACCGATGTCATGCGTGTCTAGACCTTATTATTAGTGCAGATCGAATGCTATCGACCACGTTGCAGTGTAGCCACCAGTCTAGGTGACTCGACACTGCGGGCACTATTGTGAAATTAGATGGTGGTTGGAGGTAGTCTCTGACGTCTCTGACTGTGAAGCTGGGTGACACGAATCGAATCCTCCAGGGAGCACCAGTCCCCTCAAAGATTACAGGTACACCTTGCTGACGAGTGCCAAGTTGCACAAAACCCGGGTCCAGGGTTTCCTGTCGACTACCTCCATCTACTACCATCTAATGTCACTTGTTATTGTTTTGCTTGTATCTTTTCATTGAGGTTTAAGACTGCAATTGATTAGTATGTTATTAGCATATGTGCATACTGCGCGTATTGCCTCGATATTGCTTTAATTTACAAGCTCTATAAACAAAGATGGATATTGACTCGTCGGCTTGATGTACTTGCACCTCAGGTGTGAACATCAACTCTGAGATGCAGCTACATCCAGCTGGCGAGCCCCAAATAGTACGAAACGCTCGTCGTGGATTCCACTGCTTGCTACTATTCATCTTTTAATTTCAAAATATTTATTAAATAAAAATAGATCATGTAGAACGAGATCATTAGTTAAAATTGAATAAGATATAAACATTCTATGAGAAACATAGTGACTAAGAAGAAAAGTATGGTAAATTAAGTGGCTGAAAAAAACGTTTTCTGTACAAAATGATTAGTTTTATTGAGATGCATA